TTCGGAGCGAAAATTTGTATAAATATTAGTTTTCAACTGCTCTTATACATCATTTAAGTAAAATCTCAGGAAGATCAATAGTTTTGTAATTCGAATTTTGGTGACGTCATGTGAAAACTAGCTTTTGCGGGTGTACAGCAGCTGTATCGTCGCCAAATAGCTCTTGATCGACTTATGAACGCGCCAGAGTTTTCTTTGTTACTGTTTTTATTTCTTGTGGAGCCCGTCCAGACCTCTTGTTTTTCCTAGTTTCACTCGGGAAAAGTGGTTCGCGCTGATCTTTCTATCTATTTTTCCCTGTCTCTGATTACTTGTAGCTGTGTTCGGCAAGAATTTGATCGTTTAGCAACACTTCCTGAATCTAATCTTTCACATCTTTATCTTATCTTAGATAGTGTAGCTAAAGTTTCGCACCTAATCGAAGATGCATCGTCTTAGGGTATCGTGATGTAAGCCTTATGTTTTAGAAAATAAACTGCAATAGAGTGTAATAAAGTCTATTTCTCGTTAATTCTTTAATTGTGAACACGAGAGTGAATACTCAGAGCAATCTCGGTCGAAATCTCAGCGGTTCGAAATCAAAATGTTGGGTGCGAACTCGGATGGTGCGAACTCGGATGGGGCGCACTCAATAATTTGGTGCGAAACCTCCCCAAGTATTCATAAATGATTTCCAAGGCGCTGATATTACCCTGGCTACGAGAGTCATTAATTCCGCGGCTTTCTCTTCTCTGCGTAGTAGCTAACAGGAGAACTACGACCAGTCTTACACGGACGTTCTTTGGACTCGGCCAAACGGAGTGGCAAGTGAGTCCCAAACACAAACGCTATCAGAGTAGCGGGAACTTTTCTCGGTGACCGCGCCATACTATAAGGAGTACACTAGTCTGCTATGACTCATAAGGCTCCATTTATATGGTCTCGAGTACCCGAGACAATCCTCACCTTGAGGCAATGTTATCGAGCGATTTGTGAAAACATTGTCCCTGTAGGCCGAGTCAAATACATCCTGCATGATTATTCATAACCCTTAATATCCCTATTTCTTTAAGTCTTCCTTGCTCATTCGATCACAGTGGGTTTTGCCCGGTTAATTTTCACTTCTTTAATCTAGGTATTACGTGACACTCGGCACGCCGAGAGTTGTCCCGGTTAGGCGAGCCAAAGTGTTTATATGAAGAAAAGTTGTCCCGCCCGCGAGGGTTACCCTACCTGCCGAGGCGAGACAACTTTCCCACACGAGTTGTTTCGCCCACCGTGGTCGAATTTTACAAAGAAATAAGTGAAAAATTAGCTCGGCGCGGCCTGGGTAACTCGGGGTAAGGTTTTTCTCGGCTAACCAAGACCATATAAACGGGCCCTCAAATTGACAAGTTCAGCTGGTACTCCTAAGTCATAGTTGTAAGTAAGTTGCTTGAACAAGTGCATGATAAAAATAATCGCCACGAATTTCCCTCTGAGCGCGTTTAGCCCTAGGGAAAGAAATAGGGAACCCCAAGTGGGGCACCACAACAAGGAAGCAAACATGTGCACTCTCAAGACAGTAAACGGAAACGTGGCCCAGGGACACGCCGCAACGACTTTTCCCTTTGTGTAGATCCTGATATGTCCTTTTAAAGTCGTCCCATGAAGTTTAATTAGGGGTCAGTCTCTTTTCCCTCCATTGCGATTGCGATTCCCGCGCTCTCCGGCCTCATGCGATTTGCCCTCGACATCTTCCTTTCTCTTACTACTTTTACTTAGTAGGCGTGACGGAATTTGAATGCATTGTAATTCAATTAAAACTACGTACTCTGAGAGGAAGAGTAGAGAAATCGATTGGTGCAGACACTTACGATGAAATTTATCACACGTTTGCTCCTGGCCGTTTCCAAATGATCGCGCAGAATTACTGAGCTTATACGGTTTTGGACGTTTTACTTTTCTCGCGGCTCTCATGCGACTTCATTTCTGAAGCTCATCTGGAAGGCGAATGAAGACAGAACATACGGGCGAAATGATTAGGTTTGTTCTGTTTGTTCAACTTCTACGAATTTATCTTTGAATTTCCTCGCGATCAAAGGATTGACAGTGTCAGTTACGCGCGGAAAGTTCATATCAGTTAAGCACGCCTTGTTATGTTATGGATAGCAAACGTCCCGGTTTCATTAGTGCTCAATCATATTTGCATTTAGTGGAATTTTATTAGTATACTAATGCAAATGCTGTAATATGATTGGCTGAGCCATCAGAACACTATCAGCCATTAGTGTGCAGTGGCTGGAGGTCGTCTTGGCGATGGCGACGTTTTTTTCGTTTTTCCAAAGTTTTGGAGGAAAATTTTGATGCAAATGGATAATTAAATTTCTGAGAAGTCAAAATGAAGGACATTTTCGATTTCTTGACAAGAAAGTTGAAAGTATTGAAGAAACTGTTGCGCGCGCGCACACAACTTCAAGTTTAAATGACAATTCAATCCAAGCGATCTTTTTCAGGCGCAAAATTTAATAATACGTCAAGGAATAATTGAAAACCGTATTTGAAGTAAATTTTAGTAAGAATTCTACTAAAACAATTAGATTATTCCTCTCGATTTCTATGAAGTAATAGCTGATTCGGCCTTCGGCCTCATCAACTATCACTTCATAGAAATCTCGAGCTCATAATCTAATCGTTAAATATAGCAAGCTTTAAAAACAAAAAACATCTTGGTTTCTTTTCATTCTTTGAGCTGCTCACCGCCAATGGAACTCTTTTAGCACACAAACAATTCTAATTGTAGAAGACCTATTTTCGTTAGTTTATTAGATCTGCAGAAAACGCCAACAAAATAAGCCTAATGTGAAAATAAGCCCACACTTTCAACAGAGAGATGGTGTTGTATGCTTTTTCAGGCCGGTGTGCTGGGTGCGCGAAACTCAAAAAGAGTTCTCTACACTTTTTTTTTTTCCTATAAGAATATCATTTTTCCGACTCGGGATGAACTAACCCGTAATTCTTATTTTTCTATTTT